GAGGGAGAGCGACAGACAGCTGCAGGAGATGGGGGATCGCAGCGCCCATCGCGCTCAAGTGGAGCGTCTTGTACCCATCATTTATGACCGCGTTCTTGCAGCGGCGCAAGTACGCAGAGAGGGGCGTTTTACGCGTGATGCAGATGAGGTTCTTGCCCTCCTTGTGCGCCGAGCGCGGGCCGGTCGCGGAAACAGACCGCGGGACCGTAGGGAATGGACGCGCAGGCGTGAGTCGGTTCATGCGCGGCCTTTGACGAGGCGGGTCCGCAGGTGGCATCGTACTCGGACGCGTCGGGGGATCGGGCGGGGGAGTCACTCTGACTGCGACAGACCGTCCCTGTGCGTCAACGAGCCGGATCCGTTTGTTGCTAGCGGAGTCTGTTGCAGTCTGTAAGGAGCTAGGCTTGCGTTTAGAGGTCGTCGTTGACATCATGGGTGTCAGATATAAAACTAGAGATCGGCACGTGCTCCATCCAATCCATCTTTCCCTCTTTTTCACCGTCGCGCAGGCAGTCGCCATGAGCCAGCCCGATGCTGCCGAGCAAAACATTCAGATGTGGAAGGTCAAGAAGCTCATTAAGAGCCTTGACTCCGCCCGAGGGTATGTTGAACAGCCCTCGAGCCCTCCACCACGATGCTCATCTGTCAACCAGGGCGGGCACTTCTATGATCAGTCTCATCTTACCCCCCAAGGTTCATCTGCTCTCAGTGCATCGTTGACATCGCGCTCATCTATGCGACTAGGATCAAATTTCCCGCGCATCGGCCATGTTGACCCAGGAGTACGGCACAGCGTCCAACATCAAGTCCCGCGTCAATCGACTGTCTGTCCTTGCTGCGATTACGAGTACCCAGCAACGTCTCAAACTGTATAACCGGGTCCCTCCGAATGGCCTGGTGTTGTTCGTTGGCACGATCCTTACCGACGAAGGCAAGGAGAAGAAAGTTTCCTTCGATTTCGAGCCTCATAAGCCCATCAACACGTAGGTGCCCGCGTCACCTTGGTGAGACCAGTAATCTAATCTTTTTTTAGCTCTCTCTACCTCTGTGACAACAAGTTCCATACAGAAGCACTATCCGAGCTGCTCGAATCTGATTCGCGGTTCGGGTTCATCGTCATGGACGGTAACGGGACCCTGTTTGGCACTCTCGCCGGCAACACTCGCGAGATCATCCACAAGTTCACCGTCGATCTTCCCAAGAAGCACGGTCGTGGTGGACAGTCTGCGCTCCGTTTCTCCCGTCTGCGTGACGAAAAGCGTCACAACTACGTGCGCAAGGTCGCGGAGCACGCCGTGCAGCACTTCATCACCAACGACAAGGTCAACGTCACTGGCATCGTCCTGGCTGGTAGCGCCGACTTCAAGACCGAGCTTGGACAGAGTGACATGTTCGATCTCCGATTGGCTGCCAAGGTCGTCAAGGTTGTCGACGTCAGTTATGGCGGAGAAAACGGGTTTAACCAGGCGATTGAGCTCGCTGCTGAGTCCTTGGCGAACGTCAAATTCGTGCAGGAGAAGAAACTGATTCAAAAGTACTTTGATGAGATCAGCCAAGACACTGGGCGGTACTGCTTCGGTATTGAGGACACTCTGAAAGCGCTGGATCTCGGTGCTGTGGAGACCTTGATCGTTTGGGAAAATCTCGATATCACGCGGTTCATCTTGCGCAATGCCGCTGGTGGTATGTGCCTCCCTCCCACTGCCGTATATGCGTCTCATGACTTGCACAGAGGAAATTGTCGTCCACGTCAACAAGGAGCAGGAGAAAGACCGCGAAAAGTTCATCGACAAGTCCACCGGCACTGAGATGGAGCAGGTCGTCGAGCCCCAGTCGCTTCTGGAATGGTTCGCGGAGAAGTACAAGGATTTCGGCGCCAACCTTGAGTTCGTGACGAATCGTTCGCAAGAGGGAGCGCAGTTCGTGAAGGGTTTCGGCGGTATCGGTGGGCTGCTGCGATACAAAGTCGACTTCACCACGTTGGGCTCAGCAGACGACGACGAAGACGAATTCTATGACAGTGACGAGGAGGTGGTTTGACGGTACTGCTGGCTCCTGGACGGAGGAGCCCAGCCTTGCTTGGGCTCGTCCGGTGAGGTGGAGAGGGATGAAGTTGGCGGAGAATGTGGGTGCATGCGAGGTGGGAATGTTGTCGAGAACGCAACAGCAGGTTTCGTCGGATCTGGGTGGGGCCTGCTGCGAGCCATTGGCTCTATCCTGGTCAAGTGGAAAGAGCGCAAACCAGTGTGTGCGTGCACGATGGTCCAAGCGTGTGGGTTTCAGTCTGACTAGCGAGTGAAAATTGTAATACGTGCTCTAGGTTGCCACTGGTCAGTCTCTTCTTTGTCTTGGTCTTCTCAGTCTGACTTGGAAGAGATAGGCATCCTTGCATTTCGGGATGACTTGTCTACTGTAATGGGATGCATCTCAATGTATTGCCTGTAATATTTCTTGATTCCGAAGTAAATGTGCTATCGAAAATGTCATGAGAATAAGACAGTTTCTGGCGCCTACAATTCGAAGCGATCAGCATGCAACGGGCCGGTGTGGAACAACTCACTAGACCCCGAGTCTCAAAAGCTAACCAGTCTCCGGTTCCGGTCGGTAGCAGTCCCATGGACCGACACTTCCACAATCCTACGCCGAGAACAACGAGATTGCACAGAACGTACACCAGTTTCTGTAGGGACAGCACGGAGAAAGAGTTGGGGTTCGTCGCTGTCGAGGGAGCGAATTGCGCGAAAGCTGTTCGAGTAGTCAGTGATTCTGACTAACCATATTCCTCCCCCGCCCAACTGCACGCACCTGCATTCATCGACGCAATATTCTTGAACGGCGACATGAGCAGCATAAAGACGATTCCCATGCTGAAGATCTGCACGCCGCTGCCAGACATGTAGAGCATGAATGCCTGCATGGGCAGCTGCTTCGCGGGCCCCGTGGCGAAGTCCAGCGCGCGCTGCTCCTTCATCTGGCCGTGCACTGCGGGAGAGAAGACCGGGGTCTTGACATTGTTGCGTGTCTGACCAAGTGAGGGCGCTGTTTAGCAAGGGGAGACGGATAGATACTTGATGGGCGGGCCACAGACCGAAACACTTTTTGAGAAGCCGGGAGGAGGCGGGAGACTACGCCATCTGGATTGGATCAGAAATACAGAGTACATGCATGGGACAGGTCACTATACTTGGAGCTTTGTTCGAGCGTCGAGTATTCGAGGCGTTTAGTCGTCGATGACATGAGCGTGAGTGAACAGTTCTGCTGACGCATATACAACCCTAAATAACGGAGATAAGATGCTATAACATGTGCTTGAGATCGCCGATCTCCTGACTGGAGTACACTCTCTGAACAACATGACGCTTTCGGAAACGGCATGCGATATGTACGGATTTGCACTTTGACTGGTGGGTCTATCTTAGATGTCTATGATCGTGGTGGGATTCTGATACATATCGTGAACGCCGGAATGCTGAGGAGATCTCGCGTTCCTCGTGGACACCATCCTGGGAAAGATATATTACAGTTGTTGACTCATCTTGACGGCTACAGCTCTATGGAGAGACACAATGTTCGCGGATATTCTCCGGGTGCATATAAACTTTTCCTGTGCCCACGCCAAGATTATGCCACGCAAAATGGCCAAATGCCCACACGGTATGATGCAATTCGCAAGATACTGGATATGATATGATACAGGGACACAACTAAGGCCTGTTACTGACCAAACCCAGGATGCATCATTTGGCCTGGCATCTGGCCTGGCATCTGGCCTGGAATTTGGCCCGGCATTTGGCCCGGAAAAGGCGGTCCGAACCCAGGCGGCGGCGCAAACCCAGGAAACACAGGCATGTTTGGCGGAGGGGGAGGCATCATCCCCGGCGGCATACCCATCGGCATACCCATCCCTGGCCCACCCATCCCTGGTGGTGGTGGAGGCACCATCCCCATTTGCATTGCCGGCATGATCGTCTGCTGCGGGGCAAATCCGGGAGGCGGTGGTGGTTGAGCTAGAGCGCCTGCGAATTGACCCTGATATTGGTATGCGGGAACTGGGACCCCGAACCCGAGTGGAGCGGGGGGTCGTGCACCGTTTGGCAGCGCGTTGTTTTTACGGGCTTGCGCAGTGAGCAGTCGCTCAGCGGCCGTGCCGTGTCGTTCCCCTTTGCCATCCTTTTTGAACGCGTATTGCACCGTAATCGCCTTGTTCATGAGGAATGAGCCATTCATAGCTTCTATGGCAGCATCAGACGCTTCAAAGTCCGTGTACGAGACGAAGCCGTAGCCCTTGGACACGCCGGAGCTAGGGTCCCGCGCAATCTGCGATAGTGAGTAGGACTGAATTAGCAGTTTAACGGAGATGGCGGACCTTGGCGGTTGTGGCCATCATGCCGAATGCACTGAACGTGTCGTATAACAATCGCTCATCGACATTTTCATCCAGATTGCCGATGAACAGGTTGGCACCGACATCCAATTGCTTCTTATCAGACGAGGCCTACAGGGAGAATGAGGTCCATCGGAGAAAAGTAGGCGGGATCACGGCGCCTTTCGACGCTGGGTGATAGAACACAGAATCGAGAACACACCTTGTTAACCCTTATCGGCTTTCCCCACAGTTTGATTTGGTTCATGATCTTACAAGCATATTCTGCGTCTTCCTCTGTTTGAAATTCGCAAAAGCCATACCCTTGATGGGCCATAGATATACGGTCCTTGGGAAGGTGGACGTTCACTGCCCACGACGTGAGCGAGAGACGCGGCCGCTGGTTCTTGAACACACCTACAGGACCGGCTTGCAGCATCAACTCCCATACAATTGCATCCGAAACGCGCTCGTCGAGATTGCCCTGAGCTGGTGTGAGCTGAAATGGTCTTGATTGAACAGAACACGCGCACGAGGTAGACAGTAGCTTCCTGGTTTCTGTCGTCTTGTGGACGCGACATTTTGGATGACTGCAAATGGGAAGTTGCGGTGTTTGGGTGTGTTGATCATCAGCTCTTCTTGACACCACGTCCTTCTGCTTCGCTTGTGCCCGCGGGTAAACATGGTTCAGGTACAATATGCCGGCTGTAACGCTACACACTGCTGCTATGCTCTGCAATCCTCAAACTCGATTGGGGATGTCAAAAAAAAAAAGTTGTGAAACCCATCCACTGTGCTCTCTCGTCATCACGTAGTGCTCTGGACAACTTGCTCTTGGTACTACAGATCGGAGTTCATCAAATGTGGCTTGACAGTGACAACTTCCATACTGCAAGCAACTGGGAGAGATCCGCTTCTCCTCCGCGTTATCGGGCGGTGTTCCCAATTATCTGGATATGCCATCGATTATTATTCATGGACAAGTCTCATTTCCGCTCTGAGCCCTCTGATCACGGACATATCTGTATGTTCAACAGAATGCAACCAAGATCTGAGAGGCACAGAGAGATGAACACGTCACCGGTCTTAGCTCGCCCACCGCGAACGGAGGAACGCAAGCCCCATCTAACAGGCCATCTCCGTTGGACCATCGTTTCCTTTACTGGACAATCTCGCCCCCCGAACATCAGGTCTGTCGAAATATGCAAACACCGGCGCTTTCTGTCATATAAAGGATGGACCTGGCCGTCAGACTTCTGCCCATCCATCGCACCTCTCTTGTCCCCCCTGGCCAGCCTCCAGCGATGATCGGCCTTCGCAGTATCCTCACTCTGTCCGTTGTTGTCCTCTTCGGGATGATGGCTATGGCTCGGCCTGTCTCCACTGCCTCCAAGAGAGCCCTGAAGCAGTACAATCCGCGCGATGCGCCGACCCGTGTTCAGCGAGGCCACACCCAGCCTTCTGGCTATTACGGGTGCGTTCTATCATGCAGACTGTCAGCGGTGTTCCATGCTGATGTGTTTTGCCAGGCGGCGAGATGAGGCCGCTGCTCGCCCTCACCCCTCCAAGTGCTTCACTCCTCTCGAGGCTATTAGCTGGGTGCTGACTGTACTTTCCTCCAGGTCTTACAAGTGAATATATGCGCCTCAATCGTCGCTCGCGGACTACTTTGTGCTCCGTAAACGTATCTGTAGCTCACTGTACTCGTGAATTTATATACATGTGCTTATCTATTCGCTCATGAGACACCCATTCAACTTTCTGTGCACTGGTGGAAGGAGGAATAATTATTCCAGCCTCTGTTGCAGGCTGCTCGCGACAAAATATGGAGCATCCGTAGAATCCCACAGGAGCCAGGGTACGACCATAAGTTGAGCATAGACCAGACAGGAAGATATGAATTTAACTAGAAAAGCAGATAAAGAGAAAGTAGTGGATATACGACAATACCAGGAGAGTCAAGGCAGTCGCGTCGTAATAGTAATTCGTAAATGAGCCCATGAAGACTAGCATCACGCGTCTGCCACAGTTTGCCTAAACGATAATGCACTTCGTCTTACTCCTGCCTTTAACAACCGGAGGCTCGAGGGCAGCGACAATAGCCTGAGCAGATGTTATGAGGGGGAAGCAGCGGCGAGGGCCAGTCCGATGACGCACCTCATCAAACACGTTCTTGAGGCCCTTCTGCGTTAAAGCCGAGCACTCCACATACTTCACAGCGCCCAGTTCACGTGCGAGCCTCTCTCCCTGCTCATTCGCAATAGGGCGCTGCTTTTGCCTGGAGAGCTTCTCGATCACTTGGGCATCATCCCGCAGATCCACTTGGGTGCCGACAATGAGACACGGGACGCCAGGGCAGTGGTGGTGCACTTCCGGGAACCACTTTTCCTTGACGTTTTCGAACGAAGCAGGAGATGTCACGCTGAAGCACACAAGAAACACGTCGGTCTGAGGATATGATAGTGGACGCAGTCGGTCGTAGTCCTCCTGACCTGAAAATGGATAAGGGCCGAAGCACCGAGAACGACAACTCGCGCAGACGGACCAGCGGTATCGAAGAGTCCTAATGTGTACGGGTCGTCTCCAATCATTACAGTCACCGCATAGTTATCGAAGACCTATTGAAATGAGGTGTGCGAGTTGGACACATGTGAAAGCACGATAGGGGGAATGCGTACAGTCGGGACGTATTCGCTGGGAAACTTGTTGGTTGTGTAAGAGATGAGGAGGCAAGTCTACGGCGAGCGGGAAAGTTTAAGTGGCGCAACGAAGGTTGAGAAGCAGCGACACACCTTTCCCACAGCACCATCGCCAACAACTACGCATTTGATCGTCTGCATGATTGGAAAAGGAGTCTAAAGCGGTCGGTTTGCGGGGATGGCACTGTAGCCAGAAAGGTCAGCGTCAAAGGACGGCGGTGCGCTGATTGAGGGAGCAAGGGCACGATGAATGTGGTGCAGTTTGGCGTGGTTACCAGGTGGGCAGAGCCTCGTGGCAGTGTCGGGGTGACAGACGCGGAGGGTAAGAGGATGTGGCGACTCCTACTTCTACCAAGTGAGGACGAAAGAGACTCACAGAAATTGAATATGCTGGTCGCCTGCACTGTTGCGTACCCTGGACGCTACTCGATCAGCCTCGACGGAAAGTCAGATGAAAATAGAGTCTGCATAAGGAGGCCAAGCAACGAGAGCGATGAGCTGGCGTGTGACGAGCGACGAGAAAGACTGAAGACGTACAGGAACAAGGGCCGATAGCCTGGAGATATCTAGGACGATACCAAAGGTGCCGCAAGAGGGAGTTGCTACAGTTGATCGACGTCCAACAACAGCAAACATCACTCGCGATCTCCGAATTATTTTCGGCGCCGTGCTCTGGCCCGGTTCTCTTACGTCCGCCGAACGAAACGCAAAGGCTAACAGACTGCAACCATGCAAATCCGACATCTTTTGCGACTGGTGCCAGAAAAGATCCTTAGACTTCTGCCGACACATCGTGGAGGAGCGAGTAGTAGATTCCGGAATTATGCTTGTGTCAAGAGCGGAGACTACTTAAGTAGCTCTACTACGCTTGTATTGTGCCACAGAATCTACCGGGAGCGGAGAGCCTGGCCACCACAGCACGCGTCCATCGTCTGTCCCCGCTACCACACATGAATCGGAGCTCTGCCTTGGCATCAGCGAAGCGGACGAAAAAACAGGAGACAAGCGCACAGCCACGGTTTGAATGACGACGGCGACTTCTTTTCAGCACAGTCAATTGACGGAGCACTCAAACTGGGGGACTCGCACCATCAGGGAGCTCGAAGCCGTGCACAATTTGAACGTCTGTATCCCACGCGAGTAGACAGTTCCTGCTTTTACCGCAGACGATGAGTCTGCCCCGCGAAGCATAGACGGCGAACGGCGTTGGGGCCAAATATGGTGCTTGCATTATTTTTGCATCTCGGTTGCTCGTCGGATCGAGACTGATGAGACACGGAGAATGTTGGCCACCTTGAGTTACCACAGCCTGTTTCCCCGTGCAGCTTATCGCTATGGACGTGCTGAATCTTCATTCAGCGTGAAGACCCAGCGAGGGAATCCGACTGACATTTTTTTTCAAGGAACGCGCAGGCTCGCATGGTGCCGTTGGGCACCTGGGTGTGCCACCTGCATGTAAATCAGCGTTGCTGTCGACGCAAGGTGCTTCGAGACACGGACACGACCCCATCTTTCGTTCCTCCCAAAAGTGCACCACCGTCTTCCGTAAAGGCCAACGCAGTAACATTGTACCGCATGATTGAGCGCTGCTGCCGCCACCCTCCTTGGCGCGGTCAATGCTGTTCCTCGGAAATGACGGTACCGCACCTTGGACCAGCGTCCACACCTTAACTCCCGAGCGAGGGAACGACACGGCGATTTTGTCCGGCGTACAAGCCAGACATGAATCGTCAAGAGCCTTTTCACCCGCAGCTAGTATATCCAGCCAGACCCAGCCGTCGTGCGAAGGCTGGCGGTCGGAAATTAATCTGTCGGCTGAATAGTGCGCGGGCCGCCTACTTACCTTCCGCATCCATTTGCCGAGGACCCCGTCTTCTCTGAGAGCCAAGATGCCATTCGCCCATGCGATTGCGGAGATCGGGGGGTCAGACGTCACATGGACCTGCTCAAGACGTCCGGCGTTCCAGATATCGACGGTGCGGTCGTCGCCTACGTGCAGGTCAGCACTGCGCTTCGAAACCGACTATTCGAAGCCTACAAAGCATCACTAGGACCGAGTCATCCGGGCTCGACACGATGCGGCGGATGCCCCTGCCGTGAAGAGTCGTGAGAACCTGGAAGGAAGTTGCCGGCCAGGGATGATCATATTTGGCAGCATGAACCAAGGGTAATGGCGAAGGCGACCGGATGCGCTTGCTTCCTCTGGACAACGATGGATCGGGGTCCCCATGATTCAGGTATACTACTGCTGCCGGCTCATTGGGCGGAGGATGGGAGTCTGTCGTCGAGACATCGGCTCCTTTTGGCACGCACGTCAATGGAGACTTGCCTGCACGCGTCGATGACCCGCTCGGGTCCACATGAACGGACGACTCGTGGCCTGCAACAGAGAACAGAACTGGCGAGGTGAGATCTATGGGAAATGCTCTATAGGATCCAATGAGAGTCGGTTGGTGTGGATCGTCGTCATGAGGATCCTTGAGCCAAGCTTTGCGGACTGGAAGATGTTAGAGCAGGCGCGGATGGCATAGATCGACCTCACCGTTATAGCAGTCAGGAGGCGGTGATCCGTAATCGAGGGCATCGTCAAAGTTCGCCGCAGGTACCCGGGAGCTGCTCGGCTGATCCAGCGATACACTGCGTTGGGTCCGTGAAACGGCAGACTCCAGCACAAGAGGTCCACTGTGTCCGACAGGGTCCAGTCGCTTTGGTTGAAGAGCCTCATTGGCGTGACCGTCAACCGGTCCGACTGGGACCACGCGCCATGGTCGCATGCTGAGCGGATTATCAGCTGAACCGGAGCGAACCTGGGACCACGCTCGCAAGTCCGTGGACGACGTTGAAGGGCCAGAGCTCGACTCCGCAGGATCAGCATCGGCTGGTCTCCAGTACGGTTTGTTATGTGGTTCAGCCCGTTTGGTCAATGGATCAGAGCTCTTCGTTCTGGACCAAAAGCTATCAGATTCAAGGCCGGGATCCTTGTCCTCGCCACCGCGATCTCTAGCTTTTGGCCGGCCACGATGCGTATGTCTTCGTCTCTTCGCAGGCTTCGCGGGGAGATCAACAAGTGAGTGGCGGTCGGGATGCACAGCATCTATCAGGGAGCGACGGTCAGGGTGCATGAATGAGCGTGCAATTTGTGGCTCATGGTTGTTTGGAACAGAATCAGAGGACAGCGCATCGGCTGCCTCAGAAGCGGCCGCACCAGACGATGAGGATGGGACGGGGACGGAATCAGAGTTGGCATCCGTCGAATCTCGTGCACTCAGCGCACGCGGCGAGGCAACAGGGAACGGATCCTCGGTCGCCTCGGAGCATTCAACGTCTCCCACAGCGCCTGAGAAATTTGTGATGAAACCACCCGACACAAATGGATTGAACAATGGTTTCGCCGGGCGATGGCAGGAAGTCATGGACGTGTTCGAGTCTCCACTATCCATTTTCCCCGCAGGCAGCGGAGAATGTGGAGTCTGAACGACGACGATTTCCGGAAGGGCTTCAAGCTCTGAAATCACAGGCGACAGTTCCATGGGCTCTGAAGTGGACGGCGACTGCTCGATCGTCAGCGGTTCGAGTAGTGTGGGTCTCGAAACGACATTCTCGGGGTTCTAGATGAGATAACACACGTTTGCCGCAAAGTACATGACAATTCAGTCGTGCAGACTCACCTGTTTATGTTGAACTACCACTGCATCCAAATCCAGTTCATCCGTTTGCACGAGAACAGAGTTCTGGGAGATGGATGACTGTTCTGGTAGAGTCTGCAGACCAATGGATACGGCATTGGCAGCGGGAGAATCAACCTGAGTCGCAGCAGACACGTAATTATGATCTGTCTGCACGCCAACTGTGGCAAATAGTCTCGCTTAGGGAAGGAGAATGAGCAAGGTTTTTGGCAGAAACGAGATGAATTGCTAACAGAAGCACTCACTGGGCGGGCTTACTTCCTCAACTCTTTTGTACCAATGTCGACGCATCTTTGGAGGAATATGCTCCTCAGCCTCTTGCGTCAACTCGGCGATATCCTCCTGCTCCTCCTGCTCTTCCTCAACCTGGGTGGCATCTTCGGCATCAGAATCTTCTTCTTCCCCGTAGTCCACATTCGCTTCCAGATACACGACGCGGTCTCTAAAATGATCGTCTTCAGTCTCGACTGTCAACAGTAGTTCCTTTCCAGACTTGAGATTGATGGATTTAAACGCGAAGAGCTTGAAGTACACGACATCGTCGCCCCCTTCTTTGTCGCTCGATTCATCCTCGTCCCGCGCGACGCGTCGCAGAATGACGTGCGCTTTCTGGGTGGTGGGGTTGTCGCGAAACCGCAGACCACCTTTGATGTTCAGGGCAGTGTCGACCGACTCAGCCTCCGTGTCCGAAGATTCAGAATCGGGGCCCATAATTTCGAGAGAGTCGGAGAGCGGTCTGCGTGGGCCGTGTCGCTGAACCATGGGAGATGGAACGACTGAGCTGTCAGTGTTTCGATAGTGGAGTTATAGATATCACGTGGGGAGAGGCATGTCACGCGAGATCGACACTGCCACGCACTGTGCTCCTCCTTGTCATCCATGTACCGTCATCTCCTCGGTCGACGAAAACGGCTGTGTCTGTGCTTCCTGGTGCTCTCGGGGTGGTTCTCCACCGTCGCGGTTGCGATATGGCCATTCCCACCGAAGAGATTCTCCGCCAACTCTCTCGTCGACGCGGGGTCCATGGGCATCAACGTCGAAGGCCGAATCATTGCATTCGGAGACTTCAATGGCGATCAATAGTTGAGGGCTAGGGCTTGAACTTGGTCCGGGGAGACTGACTGACCCGACCTAGTCTTGACGCGCTCACGCTAGGTGCCGACCAGCAGACTTTAACGGTTTATCTATGGGACCACGGTGCGTATCCTTGGGCAGCTGCGGGGGCGATCAGTGACCAGCATGAACTAGAGGAGTACCTCTTCAAAAAGTCTTCGAGCCTACAGCATCCACGCAAGATCTACAATGTCGTTCCCGGGGACTTCACGCACTCAGGAAAGCTGGACCTTCTTGTCATGGCGCAAAGCTCAACGAGCAACCGATTGGACCTCTCAGTATACCCTGCGTTACCGGGAGCCGGTTTTGGTGCGTTTTTGCCTTATTCTCTTGATCAATGTTCGAACGATGCACTCCAGACACGAGTAACCCGCTATCTGTCCCAGCATCGAGCTCACCACAACCCATACCCATCGATGTCGACGGAGACATGAAGATTGACATGCTTGGGATGACACAGGACTCGGAAGGCTCTAGCTCCCCGCTTCAAGTATGGCGGAATGTCTGGAACGAAACAGACCCGCATTCTCATCTGTTCAATGTGTATGTGGTCTCAATGTCACAGCGCAAACATATTGAGTTCTGTATTTCCAGTGGGGAGCCTCTCTTCCATGGCGAGCAGTGCAAGATAGCCAACCCGCACAGCAATGCAGTTATAGACTTTGATGGAGATTGTCTTGCAGGTCAGTGGGACAGTCAATCTGATTTGTGAGTATTCATAATCCTGCAGACCTCTTCATATTGTGTGAGGATGGGCACGGCGGGAAAACCTATCAGATCTGGATCAATAACAAAGGCGATGGTTTCTTGCTTGCCTCACAAGGCGCAATGCCTGCTGGTGTGCAAACTGTGTCGTTCGCGGATGTTGGCGAGTGTCTACCACCGTATCAAATGCGCAATGGCTGAACATAGATACTAGACCGTGACGGTACAATCGATATGGTCTTCACGACCTGCTCCTCGGTATCGACTTCGACTGGAATCGGCAATGATTGTGCCATCAATATCGCCTACAATTCACAACTCCCTCTTTGCACTGCTACGGCTGACTCGGGCCTCAACAAGGGCGTGCGGACGTGTCGTCCGCCAGAAGATCTATGCGTGTCAGATCCGTCTTTTAAATTTGACCTGTCGAATAGCGCTGTAGGTGGTCAGCGGTCTCTACCCCACTTTTTCACTCAAGTCTTTACAGATCTTTGTTCGCATTCCGATCACGTCTATCGTTCCTGACTCGTCTTTACTCGTTTATGACACTACACAAATCCCGGCCCTGCCACTGGCACTGAAGCTGGGAGATGCCAACCTGGATGGGTTCCCTGATATGTTACTCATCGTTGTCTCCAACCAGAATCATATTCCAAGGCTGCTGTTGTCCACTGCCTGTGCTCATGGAATCGCTGGATGCGACCAGGGCCCGAAGAAACGTGGATGGGCTGTTGCGAGCAAAGGCACCGAAGCCTTGGACAAGGTCCAAGATGCGCGGGGTGTCGCGTTTCTGGATATGGACGAAGACGGATCTTTGGACATCCTTGTTCAGCGCACAGGGTCGTTTGGCCAAGGCAACATTCTGTTTGTTCAGAATAACTACTACTATGATGCGTTTTTCTTGAAAGCGATCGGTGGGTGCTTGCTTGACTTTTCCACGCTGAGGCTCACATGCACTAGTCCTAAATGGGGCCTGCGGCAACGGCTGGTGCTACGGACCCAATGGCACGGAAAAATATCATGTGTGTTATGTTACATTCCACCCATCTGCTTTTTTCTGAATTAAGACCAGCCTTTCGGAGTCAGTTACTCCGGAGCAACCTACAAATACACTGTTTTGGACACAACCGGCAGTCGGTCAGCCGCGCAAGGTGAGGCTTTGTCCAACGGTCTGACATGTGCTTGGTCTAATCCCGTCATAGTGGGTCAACTTCCGCAAACATCATATCAGTCGCTGCAGACTCCGTACTCGTTCATCGGACTGGGTCGAACCAACAATTACATCGAGAACCTCTTCGTCGGATCAACCATGCACACGGAGCAACATTACATCAACATTGAAGGTGTCATACCCAACTCCAAGGTCGTCATCCTTCCACCATCAAAGGAAGGCGACCCTTGGAAACGCGAGCTATTTTTGCGACCGGGAGATTGGATCCCATGGGTGACTCTTACTGTGGTAATCGGCATGATACTGCTCGCGGTCATTGTGCTGGTGCTGCATCTGAACGAGAAGGTGCGCTAAGGGTGGCTCTGGTGTCGGCAGTGCATTAACGATTTACAGAGGGAAGACGAGTTGGAGAAGCGAAGAGCATCACATCACATCAACTTTGATGCATTGTAATGGACTCATCCTAGTTCTCATCTGTATATTACCATGGAACTCTTTATTATATCGACTGGTATAGAGCATGTATGTGCATGAAATTCGCTTTGATTCTGGGCCGTCGACCAATCAATTTCCCTCTACTGCGTAAAGGTCGCGACTCTGGTACTCGCGGCTCTAAAAGAAAGCATGGCATTGGCAATCGGTCCAGTATCCTTGACTACTTCTTCGGGGGTCTCTTCTTCACCTCGTCTTCCTTGCAGGCATGCAACATAATCTTATTGGGATGTCCTGTTGTCATTCCACCGTGCCCCTTATGCCAGTCATACGAGATGCTGTATGCGAAGATCGACCCGTCTCGACTGAACGCAGTGCTGGAAATCGGGCCAGGCTGCGTATCAAATGCTTGGAGGAAGGTAAGCGTAAGATCCAGAAAAGAGGCAGGGACTGACTCTTGAGCCGGATACGCGCATCCTTATCCCAGAAACCGATAGATCCGTCTCCCCCTGTCGAAGTCGGTCAATGCCACGACGAAAGCACACGCATACGCATACATACCACAGGTACTGAATGTCCCTTGCACAGGGTGGAATGATATATCGTTCACCGCGAACACGTTGATGTTGTTCTTGTTGTTGGGTGTCACTTCGACGCGGTGGCAACGGAATGAGAAATTGTTTCTGACAGAGAGGTGAGTCTGAGGAGCAGGTATCAAGACGCCGGGACGGACGAGGAGTCTTTGTCTTCAATATACCTGATGACAGCGTGTCAGCATTAGCCGGACGCGAAATCGTTGCACTTACTGGAAGGCGGCACGCCCCTCGATGCTTCCAACGGCAAAGCCCTGCTTTTCGGAAGCTTTGAAGCAACTGACGACGCGTGTTTGCATCTTGAGAGGTGATTGTAGCGTCTAAATAACGGACGATCGGCATTCTGACCGGATGTACCCTGAGTCACTGACCTTAAAGACGGTGGTAGGATTGGTGAGATTGAATATCTGGATGTGCCGCTCAGCAGTCCCTACGACCATGAGCGGATACTGAACATCCATACTGTAGCAGCGCTCCGCGAGCTGGACCGTTGCAACAGGATTTGACGAGCGCAGGTCCCAGTACTTCGACAGCAAAGTCAATGGAGATCCTCGGTCAACATGCAACTAACATACTTTCACGGTCTTGTCCCAGCTTCCCGTAGCAACTATCCCACCTCCAGGAGACTCGATCCATCGCACAGCCTTGACTGGCGCGTCGTGTTGGGCTATTTGGGATGACTGGCCAGTGGCGACATCGAACATCCGACCTGCGTTATCAGTCCCACCGGAGAGGATCTTTGAACCGTCCTGAAACATTCAGATTCGTACGAATGGCCCAAGAACCTGACAATGGACGCACTTGTGACCAGCAAACGCTCAGGACGGGACCCTGATGTTGATACATGGCTTTGCCTTGACTAGCGCCGCGCTGACCAATTTCATAGACGCGAACCTGCAATTGTCTTGTGAGAACCGGCATGAATTCCGAAGAAAAGACGAGACGCACACTGTTGTCCCAACTGCCCACTGCTAGGAAGTCTGCCTGGTTCGAGAACGCCATGCTCGATACGGAGTCGGGAGGCGGGTCGGTAAGTTCGATATCTTTGTCGGCCACATTGGAATTTCCGGCTCCATTCGTGTTCGATGAGAAGAAAGACATGGCTGAGGTGTGGGACGCGTCTCAACGCGTCTGTATACACACTACCAGTAGTCGCAAGTAATAAGAGCGGTGATCGGAGCCGAAGTCCAATCATTATGCACAGCCTTTGATCGTTGATGAAGTCTATCTGATTTGGGCACGAGGTGGTCATTACGATGAAATGACTTGAGGGGACTGGCTAAGAATGTTATTATAAGAGTTTTTGGAAGGAGTCAAGAAGCATATCTACAACTAGACTTGCATGCAGAAAGGGAGTGGCGAGCAACCCTGCGGGACATTGAAGAACTGTACATTTTCACGTGACCGCTTCCGGCACCGAATCCTGGTAGGATAAAATCATCTTTTAGCCCCCCAATCTCTTGTCCCAACAACCTCAAGACTTTCCTCAAGACAAAAATGGTAAGCAACACGTTGCCGCTGAGGTCGCTCTCGGTGCTCTATGCATTGGTCTTTGCTGGTAAGAACACTGTCTGTGAAATAGTACGTTTCCTGTCGTCTAGATGTACCCAGCTGACCTTTCTTCAGATCGCAACAGCAAAGACTACATGAGGACTGAGCGCAGACATGCATTTTGCACAAGTCATTCGTCGCGATGACGTCCCATGGATGCTGGGCCTGTGCTCGCAAGGGCGCAGGCGCTAGAGCTCCGGGTCGGCCTCGGCTCGTCTTTTGACTTGTAGCCGTTGCTGATTCGTCTCCATGACCAGCCCAAGGCCAAATCCGGAACTGGCAAGAAGCCCGCCGCGGCACCCTTCGGTGCGAGCAAGCCCCAGAAGGTCAAGAAGAACCCTCTTTTCGAGAGCAAACCCCGGAACTTTGGTATCGGTGCGTGCCATTTTTTTCATCGATTCTCAATGTTAACATCTCGACAGGCCAAGACATCCAGCCCACCACTGACTTGACTCGCTTCGTCAAGTGGCCTGAATACATCCGTCTGCAGCGCCAGAAGGTCATCCTCCACCAGCGCCTCAAGGTTCCCCCTGCCATCGCCCAGTTCTCGCACACCTTGGACAAGAACACCGCCACTCAGCTCTTCAAGGTCCTCAACAAGTACCGTCCTGAGACCAAGGCTGAGAAGAAGACTCGTTTGGAGACCACTGCCAAGGCTGTCGCTGAGGGCAAAGAGACGAAGGTATGTCGACATTAGGCGTGGTGGGAGTGCTGCTCGACTGACGATTGTTGCAGGAGACCAAGAAGCCTCTCTTCGTCAAGAGCGGTTTGAACCACGTTGTTGCCCTCGTCGAGGCCAAGAAGGCTGCGCTCGTCGTCATTGCCCACGATGTCGACCCCATTGAGCTCGTTGTCTTCCTTCCCGCTCTCTGCCGCAAGATGGGTGTTCCCTACGTCATTGTCAAGGGCAAGGCCCGTCTCGGTACGGTCGTGCACAAGAAGACTTCCGCTGTCCTGGCCATTCAGGAGGTCAAGAGCGAGGACGAGCGTGACCTGGCTGCAGTTGTCGGTGCCGCCAAGGCTAACTTGTAAGATGTCGTCGCTACTCTCCGCATCATTTGCTTATCGTATCTTGCAGTTCGGACAAATACGAAGAGCACCGTCGTGTGTGGGGTGGAGGTCTCCGTGGCAACAAGTCGACCCAGAAGCTGCGCAAGCGTGCTAAGGCCGCCGGCCAGAGCATCACTGCTGCAGCTCTCACCAAGCTCTAAGCGCTCCCTTGTATCATGGGGATCTTTTGGTTTGTTGTTGGGGACAAAATGGGCGCTGCTTGTCGCCACCGCTTATTCACGCCCTGTGCGTAGTCATGCTCAGATACTTGTACGTATCTCTATGTCCAATATATGCTACGCCTATGCTATCTTTGGATTCCTGTCCGTTATAATTGTAATAGCTCAGCCAATTGTAGCATCCAGATCATTAGCATTGTCGAGTTCCATGAGTTTCATCTCGTATACACATCGCTATGATTGATCATGTCGGGATACTCCAACTGTGGTGTGTACAAACGTGCGATCGCTTAGTTACAGTACAAGATACAACTTGACATCCATCGTCACAAAACCACTTTTGAAACGTATTGTTCGAGCCGATACTATTGATGCCAACGCTACGGGAAAAGCACAACGCAACGGGAAATTGCTGATCTCTCTTTCCCTCCTTTGAAGTTGCCTCCGGTATCATCCGGAACTTGTAGCTACCATTCGAAAACCCTTATATACAAGATTTCTCACTTATACATGAACGGGAACCACATAAAAAACAAGAGCCGGTCCATCATTTCAAGGCCACAAACCCAAGATGACTTTACAGCGCAAGTTCCTCCTCGTGCGAGGCTCTGGTACTTTGTAGGAGACATAAATTATGTATTCTAAAAGTGCTCCAACTTCTTCCTTGTCTTGCCGGTGCGTGGTTGTGGAGAACTGAAGAAAAAGTGGATGAGCGTGACATTTCAAAGTCCGATCGGTAGGCAATGTTGATGGCTTGAGAACACGTGCTGACGCGTCGAGTTTGTACCCCCTTATCTTGGCACCGGATGACGGTTTTCACAGTCGAGTTTTAATTTCAAGCTCCCGGAATCCAGAATCCTTTTGATGATACTAATCCGTACTTCATGACACCTAATACTCACTAATACCTGCTGCTTACATTTGATGCAACATACTTATTCTCATCCTAAATACCTGCTAAACTTGTTATATTACATACTATAGAAATGTCCTTCATAGTTCATTGTTCATGATTGTGCGTGCAGCGCAAGAGTCTGCTTGATCGTAAGCTGCGGGAGGTGTCGATCAGGCGGAGTGTCAAAGGATTTGTGACACTCAGTGACACTTTGCACCCTCCCTCCAGTTCTCCGCAACCACGCACCGGCAAGACAAGGAAGAAGTTGGAGCACTTTTAGAATACATAAGTTATGTCTCCTACAAAGTACCAGAGCCTCGCACGAGGAGGAACTTGCGCTGTAAAGTCATCTTGGGTTTGTGGCCTCGAAATGATGGACCGGCTCTTGTTTTTTATGTGGTTCCCGTTCATGTATAAGTGAGAAATCTTGTATATAAGGGTTTTCGAATGGTAGCTACAAGTTCCGGATGATACTGGAGGCAACTTCGAAGGAGGGAAAGAGAGATCAGCAATTTCCCGTTGCGTTGTGCTTTTCCCGTAGCATTGGCATCAATAGTACCCCCTTGGAGCCTCGACTCCACGGCTCCGTGATGGAAGCACTACCCGCACAAAGGCCGCGGCTACGGATGCTGCGGACGAGTTGTGGACAGCGATGGAATGTATACACTGCCGATCGATGATCTCCACATAAGAGGCTCAAACCGCGTCACAGTGAATCATCAGTATCAAACCTCGAGTCCAAGTCTAATATGGCACCCTCTTCCAGCACTGCGGGGCCCATCTCTCTGCACTTCCAGGACGTTACCCGCATCGCAGGCGAAGACATCCAAGGCCATGTCGAACTGAACTTCCAGGAAGCGCAAACCGACCATCTCGAGTCGGTTTATATCAAGTTCGAAGGCGTTATCTTCACGTTCGTACTGCCTCGATCCGGATCTCTCGTCCCTGCTTCATCTTGAGATGTCCAGAGAAATCATGACTTCCACTGGGACCAGCGTTATTGTCGAGCGGGAGAAAGTCCCTGTGGGTGCTTTCTTTGAGTGGCCCAGTTGAAGTTCATCAAGCATCTATGTAGCTGTTCGGCATGGAGACCCCGCTCTGGAGCACCGGGACCTTTCCGTCGCCTGGAACACACACCCTTACCCTGCCCTTCCAATTCACGTTCCCGGAATCTCTCCCGCCGTCCTTCCACGGTGTGATCAAGTCCAATTCCATTAAGGGGAGTGTCCGGTATACCCTGGAGGTGGTCGGGCGTCGCGATGGGCTTCTGCGCAAAGCGCGGCGCATTCGACGAGCGATCGCTCTCCTACCATCGGCGGCACCGGAACAGTTGCGGGTCCGGGAGGTTTTGTTGCAAGGGTGGGGCGGAGCGGTGCAAGATTTTGTAGCTGAGGAAAAGTTGCGCCAGGGTCTTTGGGGCGACTATTCGCATGCGCGCATCAAGGTGTGCATTCAGGCGACTCTCATGTTTTCGTTTAACCCCGGTGGATGCACCAGCTCTCTCTGCCACAACTGGACACGTTCCCCGTCGCGACCACGATCCCCATCTCGTTCACTGTGGAGACTGACACGAAGCCGATCAGTTCCTCGGAGGCTCCAGTTGACAAGCACGGCAAACCGCTGTTTCCCGCTCTTCCAGCGTCTTCCGCGGATATCAAACTTGGCTTGGAGCTGAAGATGGAGGTTCGATGCCAGAAGAGCCACCGTAAAGGCAGAAAGGAGGTGGACCTCGCGGGATCACTAGGCGATCCAAATGCCGTCAAGACAGTCAGACACACTTTCGCCGACCCACAGTGGATTCCGAACGGGGATTCCAAAACGGAAGGCTTCTGGCGACGGACCGTCACATTTGACTGTGGCCTGACTCTTCCCTATGCACCGACTACGACGCTGAGGACGCTGTATTGGAAGGTTTGCCGTCTGCATGCACCGGCCTCCAGCTTCTGACTGGGTATCGTGCAGTACCAACTGCTTCTAAAGGTCCCGTTCCCTGGTGTCGGGAACAATCTCAAGCTGGAAGTCCCGATCGTTCTTGGACCATGTTCTGCGTGCCCGCCACCTGCCGTCGGCGCTGCAGGATCTTCGCAAGCTACTTATGCCGACGTTCTTCCTGCGGGACCACCGCCCATGATGGATCTTCCGCCGTGCGTTTTTTTAGGGCAGTCCCGTCAAGTCAACTGACATCCGAGTAGCACTTATTGGACTGGAGAAGGCGAAAACTGGGATGATGACGAGAAAGATTAAGAAATCAGGGTACGGCTATTACAGAATCTTATTTATACATACGTTGTACAGCACATCAATAGGGGGGTGCCCCGATGAAGCGCGCGAGGGCCCTTCTCGCCAAATCGACATCGTGTTCCATTGGAGGTGTCACTGGCTGCGCGTAAGCTTGGAGAAGAGTGATTACGGACCATCCTATGACGCGTCAGTACGCGATTCAGTCACCGTCCGCGCAGGTAGACGCCACCCACTGTCCAGACGGCGTAGTTCTAGCAGTGTTTCGGGGAAGGAGATGGGGACACGATTGAGAGCAGTAAGCAGCGGGCGTAACGAATGCATGTTTTCGTGAGCGCGGCTGTTGTACAGACGACATTTCGACCATTGGTCACTGCATGACATGAATATCCGAGCGCCAAAATACAGGATCTGCCCACGCACTGGATGGAAAGCGTGAAGAACCATTCCGCAAGTTGCTTCTCGAGTTCTCGGTAGTATTGCTCTTCAACCGTCAGTTCAGTTCCTATCAGGCTTGAAGAATACTGATGGAAAACGAGAGGCGACGCGTGAGGCATAGCTCATGGCATGGAGGATTGTTATGAGCCGACCAACCGCCTGGTTTATGTGAATATTCGATTAGACAGGGTTCAGCGGGTCCCTGAGTGCCAAAAGGATGGGATCATCGCCAACCAAGACCCGCATGCTCGTTCCTGCAGTCAAGGCTGAAAGTATATCCTCACCGCGCGTTCACTTTCTCAGGGGCGGTGATAGCTCAGTAGTCAGCTCCGTAGAGTACGACGCTAACGGAACTTACGACGTTCTAGACACAATCCGAGTCCAAGAGACCATCGATGCGTGACATCTCCGAGGCATCGCTTTCGTGCCATCACAAGAGAAAAAGCGACGAGACGCCGTGAGATGATCGTGGAAATGACCTGAAAGCGAAGTTTCTGCGGCAAAGAGAGCGGAAGCTAGCGATAGTACGTGGTTCCTGATCGCTGATTGTGCAGGTTGAGCTTGTGGCAAACACATAGGCTGGCAAGGGAGGCCACGAGAAAGCTTGATCTGAGACTGATTGTGGGACATCGTCTTGGTTGCGAGAATTGGCTGACACTTGAACTGGTCTGGACACAAAGGGCCGAGAAGCAGGGGGCTCGACCGCAGATCTAGACCCCGGAAAGAGAAGGAATTGATGCCGATTTGTGCCGACGGTCCAGGCCCACCCCACCTCTTTGACCTAGCGCCCTTTCGGAGGGCGGCATCGGGTCGTGCGACGACCAGGGCCATTCGGAATAACGCGCATGTGTTTCCCGTTCCGACTGACGAGAAGGACACGAAAAACGGCTGCAAACGACGGATTGCGAAGCGCGGTTTGCGACATCACGCAACGGGGTGGGATTTTGGCCGTTCAGTTATAAGAAGAGAAGGGCTGGGCCTTCGAGCTATACCTACCCCAACTTTCACCCGAAGTGCCTGGATGGACGACCGATATCGCGTACAGCAGCAGCAGCCTTTGCTGCCGCTTCTCTCCATCGCCGCCTCTCGCGCCCAATATTCTCCAACACAGCAGTCGCAGTGGGGCTCCAGTTCTTCCAGTGTAAGCGCGACTCCTTGCTTCATCCTGTGCGGCGCGACGCGTCGAGACCGCTTCCGCGTCCCGATTGGGATGCGACTACTAGCCGTTGTTTGCCTCGGCGTGGCGCCGCTCCCGTTACATGCTTGCTCTTCACGTTCACGTTCGTTGATGGTTTCTGGCTTTTCTAGCAACAGCAACTCCCCAGTCTCGGTGTCAAGCGCGAAGGCGGCTCTCCCGACCACATGAATGATCGCAAAGACTCACATGAGGACACCATGTCCTCAACGAGTGACTTCGTCAAGAAGTTGTACAAGTCAGTGATCTCTGTACTTATTTCCTCAATTCTGATTCATGTGCCCAGGATGCTCGAGGACCCAGCGTTCCAGAATGTTGTTTGCTGGGGCCCGCAGGGCGATTGTTTCGTGGTCAAGGTATGCGTGTTTCATGCCAAGTATCACGGCACGGTGTCTCAGCGCTCTCCCAGGACATGAACGAATTCACGAAGTCAATACTACCAAGGATGTTCAAGCACTCCAACTTCGCAAGTTTCGTGCGACAATTGAACAAATACGACTTCCACAAAGTGAAGAACACCGACGACAACCAGTATGGGGAGCACGTATGTGTTTTACGTTCCATCCGTCGAGATATTCATTTAATTTCGCTGCAGAGCTGGACTTTCAAGCACCCAGATTTCCACGCCGACCGTCGAGATGCGCTCGAAAACATCAAGCGCAAAGTGCCCGCACAACGCAAATCGACCGCACCGTCAGCTCCTCAATCCATGCCAATACCGCAAGCCTCCTCCTCATATAACCCCTATCCACAACCCAGTCTCTCCTCCTCCACACCATATTCTGTCGATGCTACCGGCAAGATCGACACGTTACATGCGCAGCTCGCTTCCCTGCAGTCACAGCTCACGTCGCTATCCGCAGCGCACGAGGACGTGGTGTCACATGTACGAAATCTGGAGCGCAGCTACCAGGAAGTGCTTGTCGAGATGGTCGGGTTCCAGCGAGGGATGGCACAGCAGGACGGACTCATGCAGAACCTGATACAGTACTTTTTACGAGAAAACAACGGGAACGGCACCGGTGAGTGACAGGTTCGCCCTTGGATCCTCATCTGGGCCCGACCCCGCGTTTCTAATTGCTGTTTTCTTGTTTGTTAATGTAAAGGCAAAATGAAACAAGTGCAAGGAACCGATGGCGACGTCAACAATCCATTTCTGTTCCTGCAGAATCAAGAGACTCAGCGACTACTGGACAAGACGTATCCCGAAACAGATGTGGCGCGTGCCAGTCTGCTACAAATGAGCGAGATCTCGAGGAGGGCCGAACAAGTCGGAATGTCATTTGGTGGGCAGGCTGCCAATACCGCTGCTTCGGCAGTCGGCTTAACAGTAACGGCGTTGGTGCAAGCGGCATTGGAGCAGCGATGGGGCGAATGGACATGCTGGCTCGAATCGAAGAACTTCAGGCACAACGTTCAAGAAGAATGGACGGCAGCAGCACGCTGACCGGCCAGCAGCGCACAGAGACCCCCGAAACCGAATCCGACGACATGGACGAAATTGTTCAGCCGACCCCGTCGAATCCGCCGGACATCGAGTCTGCGGGGATCATGGCAACCGGGAGCTCTAATAGCCCAGCAGCGGACGCATGGAGTCTCGCCCCCAGTGATTCGCATGCTGGTCTGGAGGTGTACACCATCGGACATCTCATGCCTCGAGATAGTGCTGAAGGAATCGGGAGCTCCGGACTACTTGACGCTCAGGGCAACTGGACATTTCCCGACCCAACACTGCCGTCGACGCCTGAGATGGTCGGCAAGCAAGAGTCATCTGGATACGGCAGCCCATCGAACAAGAGCGGCAAGCAGACGCTGCGGGTCCGGAGATCGACGTTCGTCCCTGGCTGGGCAGTGCCGCCTCGAGTGCTCCTCGTCGACGACGATGCCGTGAGCAGGAAATTGAGCAGCAAGTTCCTGCAGGTCTTCGGGTGCGCGATCGACGTTGCGGTGGACGGCGTGAGCGCGGTCAACAAAATGAACTTTGAGAAGTATGACCTGGTATTGATGGTGGGCGATTTTCGTCTGAGTTTCTTCGAGCTGAGCTAACGGACTTGCAGGACATTGTCATGCCCAAGCTGGATGGCGTCTCTGCGACGTCGATGATCCGGAAATTCGACCCGCAGACGCCCATCATCTCAATGACCAGCAACTCGCGGCCAAATGAAATCATGACGTACTACTCGTCCGGCATGAATGATATCCTACCGAAGCCTTTCTCGAAAGAAGGGCTCTTGGATATGCTTGAGGTACGCGCCTTCCTCTGCCAGCTCACCATCCCCGGCTGACCCGTGGCACCCAGAAACACCTGCAGCACTTGACCGTGATCAAAGAGAGGATGAACACGCGTGTGCCGAAATCGCTGGGGATCCCGCCACTGAACGATGCGTCGTTCGAGAGTGCTCTGCAAGCAGGCTCGGGCTCCTCTCCCGACAGTCTGCTCAACTACGGCCTGGGGCTGAACAGCCCTTCCCCCGGCGACGGGCGCATCAACGTGCTTGCTGGCATGGGTCTGTCGGATGAGCAGTACAACATCATGCTCGCTGGGATCGTCAGCGGCGACGGTCTGGGCTTCGGTGCATCAGGGTCTGAGAAGCGGCCGTTGGAGCTTGGGGAGGGGGATGCTGATGGACGAGACGGCAAGCGCAGTCGCTTTGAAGTGGTTGACTGATTTATTCTGTTTCTGGCTTCTGTTTATCCCTTGTTAATCGCCGCTGCTCTGTGTCTGTATAATATGCCTTATGCGGTATTTGGCCAAACTCAAAGCACTGTAACTTACGTACTTACTGCATACCTAGAATCTTCCCGTACAATTATTCTTTCGAACAAGCACTCTTTCCATCTGGAACGCATCTCTCGAGTGTGATTTATACAAATCTTGCGATACTAAGTACTATCCATTAGCATATAAGGCCCTTGGGGCATGGGTCCGTAATGAATTCCGGTGCTCGTTCCTAAACAACGGTCAGCACACATGCGAGATCCCAATAGAGGAATACCGGCCTTGACACGCTCGGGCTGAGCGCAGACGACATGCGCTGGGCATCCATCTTGGATTTGACGCACCTGGAACATCTGAGTCAGCAACTTCGTTTGATGCGGGGGAGGCAATGCACTGCGCTTACCGAGACATCGACGAGGGGTGTCGCGAGCGCAACGCCGAAGGACGTCAAGGCGATGAGGAGAAGGGACAACTTGAACTGCATGATAGGCTGCTTCGGATGGAGACCCGGACACACATGCTTTATGAAGGCACGGTGGCTTTCCCCTTGACCATATCCGTGTGATAGCGATTGGCACTCCGGTATTATCACTCGAATCGAGTTGATCTAATCTAATCTTTACCACAGCTAATCTGACAATTGAGACGCGGCCGACAAGCGATAGGCGATTGAGACGCATTTGAAAAATATAAAAACACCCAGCGATTGAATTTCATCGTCAAAGACCAAGGCAGGGCCTTGCAGATGATTGCTGGACTCCTGACTTACCTCCTGGCCGCCGGACTTGCCGCCCCAGGCGACCCGCTTTAGCTTAGATGAGCATTCAGCGAAATTATGCCACACAATATCAATACACGAACTTCCAATTTCGTACAGTTTGAGTCTCAATTGCTTACCTCGTTCGCGAAACTATCATCCCCGATGTATTGCCACATTCCTTATCTAATCTATATGATCTCTGCGCCCGATTCAGGTGACAAGTGCCTCACGGCTGGAAACAATCAATCATTCACAACTCTGTCGAACCATCAGGCCGGGCATGGCTCTGACAAAGTCTGTGAGAGACACGTTACTACGATTCAGCTGGCTCCGATAAAAGACGGAAAGCGGCTGGAGTTCTCCCTGGATCGGCAAACTAACTCATCATGCCTTTCAAAGTAACTGCCTTCGTCCTCACTCTGGCCTCGTTCGGGCTCGTTAGTGCTGTGCCGACCCAGATAAGTGTCGAGATTGCGGTGCGTTTCCGTTCTTACACAGCTCTGTTGCTGCAGAACGTGTATCGACAACAACTCGCACAGGCGCGCCAGATCCACGACCAGTGCCCGCAACACGTAATCTGTCATAGCGACTAGTCGGGGAAACCATTGCGGTGGAGATCATGAGTAGGCGTAGTGGATAGGATAGCACTCGACGCAAATGGTTCTCGGGCTCGATCATACTTGTTTCGTGCACATGTCTCTGCTTGAGAACGTGACCTTGATTAGAGCGACTGGAATCTCAGCCAAGAGACAGCCAGGTGGGACACAAGTCAGTGGTCCTCGATAAGGAAGGGGGGTAAGAATCAGGACAGCCTAGCCGGTGCCTGGCTCGGTGCACTATGATAAAAGGGTCACTCGCCACAGATCAGCTCAATACGCACCCTATAGGCCCCCGGCTACTCTCTATAAAATCAGTCCGGAATAGTGCAAATCAAGGCCCGAAAATGGGCAGATCTCAGGCGGAGATATAGTGCAAATCGGGGCCGGAGGCCCCGACCCCAGGCGTATATAGTGCAAATCGCCGGCTCTGCCGGCGAATCTTTTTGAGATTATATGTCTCCCAGAGCCCAGATTTTAGCCAATGCTCCTGGCTTTCCGCACTAAAGCAGCATCTGTGATTTTGTTGCCAATCTACGCTACATCTATGTACAGTACCCCAATCCAAGGCTACAACGGCCAAGACTAACGCGAGAGCGTCCAAAAAGTCTTCGAAAGTCTCCGTGCGTGTTTTAAAGAGGTCTAAGTAGTGCTATCGGCGCCAGCAAGGCGCCAGGGACGCTCAGAAACGCTTAGATATGTAAAATAGCGGTACATCAAAAATTTCCTAATTTGGTGACCTCGGTCCGGAATAGTGCAAATCAAGGTGGCAAGCGCCCAAATTTTTAGTGCAAATCAAGGCGCCGGGACGGACTGACCTTTGGTGTAGTAGCCGGGGGCCTCACCCTATCCATTCCCATCCATGCAGTTCCACCTCACAAGCCTCGTCTTTGTCGCACTTGCTTCGATTGGTCTGGTCGCTGCAGCACCGACTGCTGCCGAGGTAAGCTTGCATTGAAGGATGATGCAAGACGGGCCATCCTCACCCTCTCGATCAGGCTCGAATCGTTGACCCCTGCCCGCCTCACCTCATCTGTGTTAACCCGAGTTGAGCGGCACCAGAAGACCAGAAGTTGAGGGAGTCGCGAGTTGCCACGAGTCGAGTGTGAACAGTGGACCAGGCAGTCGGAATGTGGTCAGGGACTTGGGGCAGAAATGGCAGCGGAGTATCAGAGAAGTTGCATGCATTGTATCAATCGAATGCTTCCAAAGAGCTATGTGGCCCTGTTCAGATCGCTTGGAATGGTGCTAGTTGCTGGAGCCTTGCGCACCCTGTGGACAACGTCACGAAATAATGCTGGCGTCCACACCAAAGAATGCGCTCGAAAGCGCCATGATCTGCGCCACGATGACTCTGATATGACCTGATGAGACATTTTGGGTCCAATTACCGGACTTGCGGTGCCCTGGTGCGATTCTCGGGCTGAGAGTAAGCGGAAGACCCCTGACATCTCCCACGAATACATCTAGTCTTTCAGGCCCGCGGACACTCCGTATTAGGTCGGTCCGGAATAGAGTAAAAGTTGGCCGAAAATTTTTGGATTTCCGGTCCGAAAATAGAGTAAAATCGAGCTCCAGAGCGCGGAAGCGGTCCGGCATAGAGTAAAAGTCGGGCGAAGTCCGACCGATTTTGGCTAAAATATGACTTGAATATGGCCAAATCACGCAATTTTGGAACACTCTAAGCTCTCCCGTAAGCCGCAGCGACCGGCATGAGTACTCGATCACGACCGGGACTGATGGCCTCAACAAATCGGACAATGAGCGACCAAAATATTGGAAATTTTCGTAGCGTGGGAGAAATTTTTTGATTTTCCGGTCCGGAAATAGAGTAAAAGTGACCCCAAACCGCCAATTTTATAGAGTAAAAGTCTTGGAGCTGGCGGACCGACCCGATACGGAGTATCCGCGGGCCTAGTCTTTCCCGTTTCGGCTCTGACTTTCTACATGGTGACATCATGATACCCCGGTAAGAGATTACGGGTGACCCGTAGTCCGTGACATCAGCCCGGATCAAAATCCGCGGAAGCTCAGCCGCGGGTGACCCGGGTGTGCCGTGGCAGTCCTTACGTCATATTTTGGCCGACTTCTTCGGCACGCTGCACAGATAAATATTCGTGAGCAGTCCACAGTCTCTATCTACAATCAAGTCAAGCCAACATGCCCACTCTCTCCACAGGCAAAGTTCTCGTCTCCGGCGCCAACGGATTCATCGCCGTCGTGCGTCCGATCTATTCTCTCGCGCACATTTGGAGGCTCACGCGACGCGTATCGCGACCTAGTGGGTTGTCCGCACATTTTTAGAAGAAGGATACGCCGTGCGCGGCACCGTGCGGTCTGAAGACAAGGGGAAACATCTCATCGAGACCTTCAAGTCGTACGGCGACAAGTTCGAGGTCGTCGTGGTGCCGGACATTACCGCGGTGCGTCGGCGAACTCCTGCTCACTGGACATCCGGAATCTCATCTCGCCTGCCCGTGGGCGTATAGGATGGCGCATTCGATGAGGCTGTCAAGGGAGTTCAAGCGATCGCGCACACTGCCTCCCCGTTCCATTTCCAGGCGGAGGATCCAGCCGGTACGCACTCATTCGAAGGTGTATGCAGCGACTCACGGGCCCTCGCAGTTCTGATCGACCCTGCGGTGAAGGGTACTGTGGGGATGCTCAAGAGTGTGCTGAAGAATGGGTCGGTCACCTTCGTTCGACCGATCACGTCGAGTAGCGCGCTGACGGGTTGCATCTAGGAAGGACGTCAAGCGCATCGTCGTGACATCCTCCGCCGCAGCTATTGTCAGCGTGTATCCTGAACCGACGCATTTCAGCGAGGAGAACTGGAATGACCAATCCGTTGAGGAAGTGGAGAAGCTCGGTCGGAAGGCATCCGTGATCTCGAAGTACCGGGCCAGTAAAACGCTGGCTGAGCGCGGTCGGTTCCAATCGCCATTTTCCCGCATATATTCTCATTCTCCACGAAGGCGCTTGGAACTTCGTCAAAGAACATGCGAGTGAGATTGGGTGGGACCTTACCGTGCTCAACCCTCCCCTCGTTCTGGGGGTGATTCGCTTCGTCCGATCCGCGTAGAACCTATTTTGATCATGTTCCAGCCCGAGATCCACGCCGTCTCCACCCCTGCCGAGCTCAACACCTCTTCGCGCATGATGTATCAGGGTCTGACCCAGGCAGGGGCGACCGTCGGCGGAGGGAGCTGGGTCGACGTTCGCGACCTGGCTTTGGCCCATGTGCGTGCTATTCAGAAGGAGGAGGCTGGCGGGGAGCGCATCATTGTCTGCGAGGGAACCTACACATGGCAAGACATGAGTGAGTCAGGGCACACTGCTCGATCTGGCGATTGACTGACGCATACATTGTGCCCAGTCGACGCGCTGCCCCCGGCTGCTGTCGCGTCCGGGAAGTATCAGAAGGGAACACCTGGATCTGGCAAGGACTTCAAGCAGATGACCACGTACGATAACTCGAAAGGTTTGCGCATCCTTGGGATCAAGTACCGCACGGTGAAAGACGTGACCGCGGACACGGTTGCGCAGTGGGAAGGCAGAGGCTGGTGAAGATGTCGCCTTGTAGATGTCGCCGAGTCGAAGTAACATGCAAGATTACAGAAACGCTAGATAAGATAATGCAATATGACATCTTATCTTTCCGGAAGTTGTTATCGGTATGCAAGTTACTGACATCATCGGAAAGTCCTGTTCGGACCCTGTCGGACGCTAGATATATATTCAGGACAGATCAGCGCACTATCATGAGAACTCTAAATTGAACTCCACACTTCTTCACGACTGTGGCGTACCCTGAGGAGACTATTTCCGTGCAATACTGGTCACAGGGACCGTTTCCTGCCAGAACCTATTCAATCCTTCCGATCGAGCGCAATACAGATCTGGATAGCTGTGAATGCCCGGGACAACCCGTTCCCAGTGTATGCACCTGGTGCGATGCCCGACATACCCCGTTCCCAGTACGTACCCTCGTACGATGCAGTCGGACAGACACATGGTCACTGCAAACCTAAGAATAGACAAATGATGAGGAAAGCCGGAGGGAGAGACGTGGAAACCGTTGTATGCTGGGAGCAGACCAAGTGTGCTTCAGAGGCTGGCTCATTCCCCAGCCAAAGCTGAACCTTCTTTGGCCGCTTTAGGAAGGTTGTCGGATATAGACTGTCCTCCGCGCGCCCATCAAGTTTCCATCGAAAGTTCACAGCCCGCGAAGCGCTGCGTTAGTGCGGATTATAAACCGATAACGCATCATCTCTGTTCACCCCAACATAGAGACTGGGGCTATCGGCCCGGAGAACAACAATAGAGTGGGGACTCGGCAAAGCCCTGCTTCGTATATCCTGGGGACATTTGACGAACATTCGATGATGGGGCGATGGGACATCTGTGCGTGCACCTGCGGTTGACTTGCTGAATCATCCCTGCGAGTGCGGGGGGACCCCCAGAGCCCAGGCCTCCCGAAGCTCCTCGAGACTTGGCATAACGTGATCGATTATCGCGGATCTATCACATAATGAAAGAGGATCATCCCCTGAGAGAGATTGGTGGCGAAAAGAGTGGAGTTTTGCGCAAAAATCAGGGTGGATAGTGGCATCCCAAGATCGCCGGAGCAGCAACGCGCGTGATGTATGTGATGTATCGAATCGAAGCGAAGGGCTCCCGCGGGCCTTTGGCTGCAGCTCGATACTCAACGTCTGTCTGAACATGACTTGTAAGAAATAGCCCACGTTTTGATTCCTCAGAAGTCGAACCATCGGGGGCACAGGTCCCGAGGCTCAAATCCGCCGAGCACGGTTATTAGTTATGTGTCCTGACTGATCGGACCGTGCTTGTCGATGCGTTTGGATCACAGATGCTCTCTCTGTTTACCGACAGCTAAAGAGGCAGCATGGGCCATACCTGTGACGGGCTGTATCACTCGCGAAGCAACCGTTGCTTCGCTCGGAGACTATCAATTCACCGGCCAGTAAAAGACATATACAGAAAGTAGGATACATTAGTACAAGAATGTGTCTTGTGAATACAATGTCGATAAGATTACTCGGATAAGTAGTACATACAGCGTTCAAGCGAGAGAGAGACTCATAGATCGAGAACACTCCTTGCCTGCGCTGCTTCCTGCTCAATCTTCATCGCGTGGTCGCCTTGGGGAAGCAAAATGAGGTCGTTGCGGCAATCACGAAATTGCGAAACATACCTGCCAGGGGGAAGAACGCGCTCAGGGTCTTCATGGCATTCAGGATCGCTTCCAGATCCTGCTCGATAACCGAGACAGTGTACATCGTCGTGGCACCGAATTCCTGCCCAGATATCGCGAGTAGCCGAACATAAGTTCGAGCGACGGTGGACCAGCAAGCCTAGTCGATGATCAATATCTAGCCAGCCATGTGACCCAAGAACTCGCACTCACACTGAGAGTAGGGTCCAGGAACTGGTAGTCGCCGTCGGTCAGTTGCCGAATCAGCCCGAGCACAGAGCTGGCGGCCTGGAAGGCTTGCCGCCCGAGCGTGTGTTTGTGCAGGTGGATTCTCGAAACATGGACCATCGTGTGGATCGCAAACAAGTCCACGTCGATCAGCGGCGACTGCGTTCTCCACGATTCATAGCCCACGAAGGGGGGCAGGTGCAGGCAGAATCGGTCTAGGGCCATCTCCGCCGCCTGATAATCAAGCCAATATGCGTCCGTCTTCTTCACTGTGTTCGACAATCGGAACGTCCGCTCGTACAGCGCTGCAGCCTTGACTCGGAGGGCAGGGATGTGCGCCAGATCTGCTTCGAGGGCTCCCAGGTCGAACAACGAGCCGATCGTGTTGTGCGAAGCATCCAGCATCGATCCGTCGAGCGGCGAACCAGGCCAGGGCGTGTTGATCTGCAATTGAGGGCTATCTCCATCGGGTAGTGCTACCGGAAGGCCGCTCGCGACACTCCAGCACCGATCAACCATGAACACCTGCCAGAACGCGGCGGCGCGATCTTCAAGTTCGGCCTGATCTCGCGCCGCAGGGATGGGAATGGGTGCGGTGCCGGTGTTGTAGAGCGGTGCTGCGTCGATTGTTGGGCCCCCGAGTCCACGGATCTGATGCATGCTCACGCCGACAGCCAGACGGGCGGCGGAGAACGAATGGCAATAGCCCTCCAGCGCACGACAGTTGATGTAGAGATAGGTGGCGAGGAGGCAGGATGCTTGGACGACATCGACGAGGCGGTCCGAGGCGTCCAGAGCGATGGTGATCTCGTGCAGCGTGCGATTGAAGAACACCGGCTCGATCTCGGTGCAATAGGGAGAACGGGCGAAGTGGCACGCCAGCAAATAGATCGCGTTCATGAGTGCTGGGTGCGGTTCGCGACCTGGCTGTGTCGAAGAAGTGACGGGTAGGAATCGGTCCATCTGGCAGTCGAACCAACACTGGTGTCGGTGCGCCATGAATATATCGAGCCTGATCGTGCATGAGTACGAGGAAGCGGAAATTTGGTGTAGCCCACGCACAGAATCCTCCTGCTCTCAAACGGTAAAGGTTCCTTCTGATCCCACTGTGGCATATACGGCACGTCAGGGTTGGCGGGGACATTGGAAAACGGGGACATCTCGAAGAAGGACATTTCGGGGTCGGGGACGACTTGATCCAGATCCAGAGCAGGTGTCTCGTACCCTGACGTGCTGCTGTACAACGATGAGCTGCTCGATGACGTCGGCCATGCGAACGTCTCGAAGAGGTTATCCATCGCCAGACCGCTCACACCCTCCATCTCCGCCAGAGGCATGGTTCCGGGCGACTCAAGGACCGCGCTGTTGTTAGCATATGCCCCCACTGTCGAGACCAGCTCGGGGGATGATCGCTGAGTAGCCGGAAGCGCCGATTGATCGCTCCCCGGGGATTCAGAACTGTGCGACGACTCGGACTCGAGTTCGCGGAGCCGCTCCTCGAGCTGCGAGAGCTTGTCCTTGAGTTTCTGCGTCCTGCTCTTCTGCTTTTTGTCGTCGTACTCGCATTCCACCTCGCGGTTCATCTTCACGCACTGGACGCACACGGGCCGCGTCCCATCGCATTTCTATCCGCGGGTGAGCTGTGTGCAAGAATGACTGAGGAGAGGGGCGCGCACCAGTTTTCGCTTGCTGTTCGGTCAAATGGGGTCCGTAAGCAAGAAGATGACGACTAGGGAGGGAACGCGAGTACGGACCGGCAACATAGGCATGCGAAACCGCGCTGCAGAGATGGAATGATAGAGGATTTGCGTGTAGGCATGGTTGGGGGAGGAGGGCAGCTAGTCTCGAACGGCTAAGATAATATTTTATACATCGAAGATGCCGTGAAGCAGGATCTCGCTTGGATCTGGGTGAATGATTTGCACATGTCAGATCATTTTGTGAGACAACCATTGCCATCCACGATCAAGCCATATTTGGTCTAAATCCGGAGCAAAAAAGTCCGCCTCTGAACAGGACAATCCTCGGTTGCACTTCGAGATGGGCAGTGCATAGCAAGATCTAATGTTACTTGTCGCACTACGCAGCGAAGCGGTCGCTCTATATATTTACTTTTTGTCGGTAAAGGTCTTGCGCATGTTTTCCCAGACGACAGCAGGCGCCTGTGCTGCATCAATGCCATGCCATAGTCCCTTAGCCTTGTAGTAGTCGACAACCGGTCCCGTCTGAGAATGGAACGAGCTGAGCCGCTTGGTGAGCGTCTCAACGTTATCGTCCGACCGCTGAATCAACGGTTCGCCGGTGATGTCGTCCGTCATCGGCTTCTTGGGGGGCCTGAGAAACATCAGCATCCGAAGAATTACAGTGCGAAACACAAGACGGCTAACTGGAATTCTTTATGGTAGCTGCGTCCGCTAGCGGGGTGAATGAGGCGTCCAGTAATACGCGAAATGAGCAGCTGATCGTCGATCTGGAGTTGCACGACGGAGTCGAGCTTCTCCTTCCGGTCTGAGAGCATGCCGTCCAGTTTCTGAGCCTGGGGAACAGTGCGAGGGAACCCGTCTAGAACGAATCTGGACGAAACAACATGGGACTATAACTGGCCAGCGGTATTCGGTTACGCACCCGTTCTTGCACGCAGAGTTGTTCTCCAGCTGGTCCTTGATCATGCCCACCATAATGTCGTCCGAGACGAGTCCACCGGCATCCATGATCTTCTTGGCCTCGATTCCCAGAGGCGTCTTTTGGGAAACCTGCTCACGCAGCATGTCTCCAGTAGCCAGGTGGCAGACGCAGAACTCGTCGCGTATCCGAGGAGCCTGCGTGCCCTTGCCTTCACAGACAAAACGTCAGGAAGACATGGTCAAGAAACGCGTCGAGTGCCTCCACACCTGCTCCAGGAGGTCCGACAAGGATGGTACGCAATTGCTGGAGAGGTTTGGGTGCCGGTGCCTTGGCTTTATCCTCCAGCACGCGAATTTTCTCAGAAAGCTTCGCGACAAGGGATTTGAGGTACTCTAGGTCGTCGGCAGTGCCCATGTTGTCCACAGAAAAGGTCTGGCCTCGGTAAAGGCTCTGGAGTGAGTGAGGGTTTTACGGTGACACCACGGGGAAAAGCGGAGGCACACGTCACGTGTTATGAACCACGCCCGGTTATCAGACAATGTAGATTGCGATCAAAGCCGAGATCAAAGCCAGCCCGGGCCGGCACGGAGTAGATCGTTGCTTGATTTCTACGTTCTTGCTTCCACCACAAGCCGTTCAAGCACCCTGCTCTGGTGAGAGCTATTCTCCGGTTACCCACCTAAGATTTACCGCTGTGAATCGGGCCATAAGGAGCGGATCTTCCGGGCTGTCACGGTCGCATAATCCGGGCCAATGAATCCGACCATATGCATCAAATACCTGCGTTGAGTGAAAACATCGCATGTCATGCTGAGCACGTAACGGAATTTTCCTTTCGGATCGCACAGACGCGATACCAGACAGATCCGAATCTCTTTTCTTACGTGAAACAGCCAGCACTCGGACCGTTCTTACCTGTTCGGTGTGCTTCGCTTTCAGGCGAGAGAATGCGGCGTGCTGTTATGAAGACGACAATTCCTCCATCGAGGCGGCCGGTATACACGAGCGCTTTCCGAACTTCGCTCGACACTGTCGCAATCTTCTCCTGGACAGTTTAGGATCCGGATGCTCATTGCGCCCGTCAACTTGAGACCTGCATTTCCCAGGCTTCTGTTCTTGTGTCCCGGGAGCCTTTCCGTTCCCTCAGTCACTTTTCGAAGACATTGTGACTGTAGTGCCTTTCACAAATGAACTTGATGCCCACCCAAAACACAGATCTCGTGCAATCCAGCTGGCAATCATTATGATCAAATCGGCGTTAGATCCTCGCAAAGAGTGACTTTCAGCGTGCAGAAGACCAAAAACATCGATACTACGTCGGATGCTTCGTCGCTGCATTCCGTATCAGCGCGCCAAGTCGATGGGGATCAATGACCATTGTTCGCTGCTCCCAATCCCCAAAGTAAGATTTTTATATTCGGTCACCAAACCACTCATCCGTCGTATTCATAGTCTTCCTGAAACCGCCAACGCTATCGACCAACACGGTCTCCAGGAGTGTCTTGACATGTCGGAGATCAAGTCTGTAATGAAGCCACCGCTGATGATTGGCAGATATAGATTGCCCAAGGAAAGCATCGTGTATCGATAAATTTTCTTGAAAATTAGACTCTGATTGAAGTCACTGCAGTTTTATCGATCTATCAAATTCTGGGGCAACTGGTGAATCTCAGCCTGCTCGCTGATTCGACCGGAACACTCATTCACTCGCTGCGTTGATCAATAAGATGCCCGCTTGTGCTGGCACGGGTCGCGGACAACGTCGCTGCCGACCTTCCGTCGACTGCGGATCTGTCCCTGCCCCAGAACCTCACAAATTTTGGAAGCTCAAAGCTCGGAGCTGGGGTGAATTTTTCTCCGGAGGAACGAGGCCGAGAAGCTCGCTCCTCTGTCCCCACCGACTTCAATCCACCACTCACAGCCACTGGACCATTGCACCTCTCAGACCAGTCGCTTCTGGTCAGTGCGTCCCAATCATGTGACCGGGATTGACGGCCATGGTGTAAGTCTGCTTGATTCTTATCGGGATATCCACTTGATTGGACACATGGTGATCATCTCATCTGTGGAATGTTCCTCAATCGAACTTTGCTCGGCCACGAAGCGAGTTTAACTCACTTGATGCCTTCATGAAACAGGTCCAAAAAGAACCTGAATAGGTTTTTCTCCGAAGTACACAGTCAGACTTCAAGCTTCAAGCTTTGGAGCTTGTAGACATTTGACACGTGATTGTTTGAGACGAGCACGTGAGCTGGTTCGAAAGAGAGCTAGGTTCAATCTGAGACCTAATGCAGGCGAGAAGAATCGCACCAGGAGTTCGATGAGCTTTTTGTAAGTACTCACTGATGATGATGAGAACAGAGCCTGCCGCGGTGTTTTTTGAAACCAAAGGCGAGCTGACTATCAGCCTCAGACTTGACCTCGAAATATGACCTAACATATCATGATTATTATCCACGATACATTGAGGCTTTGGAGATGGGTAGCCCTCGACGTTGTATATTCTATCAACGCAGAACTGCTGCAGGATGATTCGGACGAGCTAAGTATTACTGACAGACATGGAAGGCGCCTCTTCCGACCCTCCAGAGTACGCTCTTTCAACCCTGGCTACTCGCACGTCATAGCGCAGATACCAAGTCTTCTTCCCAAGTTTTTGCGCGAGGAGGTGCTCTAAGTTACTCTTCCAGTTGCGAATGGCGTCCTCGTCCTTCCAGTACGATATCGTAATCCCGGAGCGGATCTGCCAAGGTGTTTCTGGTGTCACATCTGCGGTGTTTACTTTTAGAATCCGATTTCTGTGAAAGTCGTTCAACACCTGCCTTGGACAAGAGATGACACAGAATCTATGCCGACGAAGCCTGGCTGTTCGTGGGCCAACGCGTCCATTCTCGCGGCCATTTCAGGGTACCCATCTCCTTCTACTGCACGGCGGGTCGACGTGAAGATCACTGCAAAGTATGGAACTGAGGATTCAATCATTGCGATGGGAGAGTAAGAATGCAGGGGTAAATGCTACTTGATTGAGACTGAAGATGAGTCATGGCACTTTGACTCACTCGAGGTTGGCTGATCGAGTAATTATACATTCCGAGATCACACACAGATCGGATGTTATCATGTTATAAATAGCTCGTCAGCAATATACGAGCGAGGCGCGCCGAGGAGAGCAAGAGCGAGTGAATGTCGACCCGTCGTCTGGACTCAAGTAAGGAGCGGAGCATTCATGCCATGATCCGAGCGCCACTTGCAGTCCGGGCCGCCAGGATCGAGGCCAAATGCGGCCGGGCCGGGGTCGAGAGCATCGCCTGGCGCAGATGATGAGCGAAGCACTACATAAGCAACGCCTAGATGATAGACCCAATGACCAACGAAGAGTGTGTCTTGACGGTCATGGTCGCAGGTGCTACAAGGCCATGTGCAGTGTCCGCATTGGCCCGTGGTCTCCCGTGGTGTCGGGACGCTCTTTGGGTTTATTTGTGTAGTCCTTGGCAAACGTTCCTGATGTGCGTTTTCGCCGGATTTGAATGTCGTGGAAACATCTGTCTTTGACCGTGTCTTCCCTTCGGAAATCACGCATTTGCTGCTCAGGCAAGCTGTCGGGGGCAGATAGCACGCTGGTTCGTACCTGTAACAGATCTCTGCTTTGTCAGTTGACCTATCTCGAACGTGCCTTCTGCTAGAGCGTCATCCACACACAAGCTTTCTCCGGCGATTTGTTTTCGCCATCAGTCCTGTGTACACACGCCGCCACTTTCTTTCTCGCGAGGTCAACACGTCTTGTCGATTTGACTCTCTCCTCGTACCTCCTCCCCCCGTAACCCCTTGTCGCCAGGTCAGCGGTTTCCGCCGCTTGCAGGTCTGACCCCCTGCACAACGCGTATCGTGCCGTCATTCCTGACGCCCGTGGTCGGAGGATCCGGATAGGATAGTCTACCGTCATAAGACCCTGGGACGCCTTTGGCCACGGACAACGTTATGGAGCAATGTTCCCCCCCATCCACCTCCTCGTCTGTGTCCTCGTCTCCGCGACTCTCCCACCTCTCGACTTCGACGTCTACATCACTCTCCTCAGCGTTCTCGGGGTCCGAGCTATCTTCTCTCCCGTCGCCTTCCGTTTCCCCCGCCCCCCGCGAAAGTTTGTCCGAGATCATCAGTCCCGTAGGGGCCAAAACCCATGCCTTCTTTGCGTCCCCTTTCACCACCCGCCCGCCTTCCCCACCGACACATACACCAAATGCCAGCACCAGCACCATCACGAGCCCGTCGATCCCCATCGTCATCCCGCCCCGCTCGCGAAGTCCCCCGATAGGGTCTTATGTGCCCAAGAAACCGCGTGACTACCTTTGGCTCGATCTGAACCCTAAAAGCGTCCACGACCTTAGTAGCGCTCCGAGCCCCATCTCGGCTTATCATCCAGCTGAGGACACGACACCGAAGCCCCCACACACTGTGCCTGCGATCCATGAGGAGCTTGTCCCAGGGTGCATCCTGCGCGCCAAAGTCCCTGCGCGATCGGGATCTGTATCTACGCACAACTCCGGCTTCCTCACGTCGGGGTCCTCTTCTCCGCTACCCCAATCTCCACTCGCCAGCATCACCGGGCTGCCCGATACCCCAGCATCGCATTCGGTATCATTCTCTGGCCTCCCTCCCGGGGACTCTGACGTCAGTCCTCCATTATTAACCGTGGACTCGCCGAAAGAGCAAGAAACCACGCTGAAACTGATGGAACCCCTGGGCACTGGTGCTTTCTCCAGTGTTTGGCTCGCCGAGGATCTGTCCGAGGATCCGCTAGTCTTGCGTCGCAGGCGGAGTATCCGGAACCTTCGTCGAGAAGGCTCGTTGCCCGCAACGCGAACGAGCTCATTGCGAAGGGTCCGTGTTTCAGGTGTTCGGCCGCTCGGGGCAGGCAAACAACTCTTTTTCCAGCGTGAGAGGAACGGGACGCTCCATACATCGCCTTCGAATTCCGCTTTGAATAGTACACGTCTCGTCGCTCTGAAGCTGACTGCCCGGACCTCATGTATCCAGGTCAACACTCGAGATGAGGAACTGCAACGAGACCGGACCCGGGTCAGCTTTGTGCGAGAAGTCGAGGTTCTGAGGCACATCTCGCATCCCAATATCACGAAGCTGCTCGCGCATCTTACCACACCCTCTTATCACGTTCTGGTCCTGCCGTACATTTCTGGCGGCGATCTACTGGGCCTAGTCAACAACGACTACTCGCATCGCCTTCTCGGAGAGTCTCTCCTCCGCCGCATGTGGTCAGAGCTTTGCAAAGCGGTGGAATGGATGCACGGGGTTGGACTTGTTCACCGGGATGTGAAACTCGAAAGTGCGTGTTCTAGACTCTCGAATCCTTTCGTTCCATTAATGATTATCAGATGTATTGCTTACGGCGCCATTTCCCTTCACTGGTGCCCCACCTTCTGGCCCCCTTATCAAGCTCACCGATTTTGGGCTGTCTCGCTTCATCGATGTCGACGCTCCGATGCTGAGCACCCGTTGTGGCAGTGAAGCCTATGCTGCCCCTGAACTCGTGATCAGTGGGCGCAAGTACGACGGGCGAGAAACGGATGCCTGGGCATGTGGCGTTGTTCTTTACGCACTCTGCGTCAGAACCTTGCCCTTTGGCGAAGGTGCCCTGAGCCCGGGACCGGACGCCAAGATCGGTCGCGAGGGTGGCCTCAGGGATAGTGCTGGGGCTCGCCGACACTGGCTTATGTGTATTGCCCGAGGAGAATGGGAATGGCCGCGCAGCGAGCTTCCGAGGATGAAGACCACGTCGTCCACTGATTCTGACGCTACTGTGCTTCCGGAGGCCTCGATTTCGGACGAACCCGAGTCTTATGAGTTGATGGGGCCCCAGTTGGTCGAGTCTGCGGGCGCGAGGCGTATCGTTGAGCGTCTGTTGGTCCGGGACACGACTCGCCGCGCGAAGTTGAGCGACTTGTGGAACGATGATTGGATGTTGGGTGGCCTGAATGGGTCCACGACCCAAGCACGCGCCGCGGAGACGGAAACCACGAGCCCGCTCAGTCCTACTTTCTCCGGCTCAGAAGCAGGCTCGGATGAATACTCTGTGGACGGGTTCCGAGGTGACTATCCAGAACTCGACGAGGAACAAGTCGAGGGATTCGACGATGAAGACCTCGAGGACGAAGAGGATCTTCACGACTATGGATTGCTCCTGGACCAGGATAGCATTGATAATATTGCAAGGCAGGAAGTGAATTAGCCTGGCTGGGTGATTCCGATTATTTATCTTTATCTCTAAACACAACCCGCATTGCTACATTACAACCAACCACCACATTCCTACCCTCCTGTGTTTCTAGTCCCGCCTTTCCTTCTCCAAAACCACATTTACCGTACCAGCACTCTATTCTGTACCCTTTGTATCTGGGCTGTTGTTTGTGTTCATTCGTTGTTTTCGCACGTTTATATATATATACCTATCTACCTACATAGATGTGAATGTACAGATCAGTTTCAAGTTTCCGGGTGTCTTTGTCTGTGCTTGCGTATGAGTCAC